TCACGTTGCTGGTGAGAGTGAGCTGGGCAGCCCTTTGGGCAAACAGTTTGGCATTATCAGAGTTAGACATGTACACGTCCTTTGGCCCAGCAGTTTAGTCCCAATAAAGCTAGGATGCGTTCTTCAGATTTTCAGAAATACACAAAAAGGGAGTAGTACAGTGACTGCCCACGAAGCCTTCCCTGTTCATCTTCCCTCTGCAGCACGTCGTGGTTCTTGTTTCATCTGTCATGCTACTGCCAACTTTTTTTCATTTTTGTTTTTGATAGAAGAAATCCCAGACATCACGTAATTTCACTCGTAAATACCTCAGTAAAAAAATAAGGACTTAACTATAATTCCTTAAAATCATCTGATACTCAGTCTATTCAGATTTACTTGATTATCTCAAAAATGCTTTTTTCAGTTTTTCTTATTTTAATAATTATTTTAATTCAGTGTTTTTTAATAAGGGTGCATGCATGTACCAGAGAGACTGAGAAACTGTGAACGCTCCCTAATGGGGCATGGTCAGGCCACAATCCATCTCCTCTCTCTCCCTTCTGTCAGGACTTGGAACATGCATACACATGTGTTGGCATTTTTTTTTTTTCAAGCCTCTGGAGCGAGCATTTGAGCCACGATTGGCCATATGGGAGCCAGCTTCATTAACCTCCAGGCAACTGGGGTTTTTTTCAAATGAGTTTTCCAGCAAGGTCTAGACACTGAATTAGTTGATAGGTTGGGTGAGTCTCTTTATTTAGAATAATTCTCCTTTTCTCTTTTTACCCTGTGTCATTCATTTGTCAGAGAAACTTGGAACTTTGTCTTATGTGGTTTCCTGTGAGTGAGGTGATGCTGTCTTTGAAGCAGGCAGGGTGCTGTCCTGCTAAACTGCTAGATTTTTAGAAAAAGAAGCCCAAGGGTAAAAATGTATAATTGTTAGGCAAAATGCATAACTTATCTGGCTAGTATCTTGGAGGGTCCCAGGATCCCCCCCTCCTTTGCTCAGGAAGCCCTCTGTCCATAACAGAGACTTTCCACCGGAGGGGAGGACGCACCAAATGGAATAATTACCCTGAGGGCTGCGGGCTCGTTTTAACCATTTCACACATTTGTCTCATGTATTTATTCCTCACAGCTATACTCTGGGACAGATGATGTTATTGTTCCCATTTTGTAGATTGGCGATCGCTGGCCATGGCATGGGGTACCCACTCTGCCTCCTTCAGTGGGGTGGTAAACACCTGTTTTTACCTTCTTTCTGAAGAGAGTGTGGGCAGCCCCCATTGTATTGTGTTTGGTGCCTGGCCATTTCACTCATCAGCATCCAGGCCTGTAGCTGGCCTGTCTCCTGGAGTATGGGGCTGTGCTGCCTTGGCACCTGCAGGAGCTGGTTCTGTGTGTCCTGTAACACGCCTACAGCCTGATTGTCCCAGCCACTCAGCAGTGGATGCTGTGCAGGCCTCCAAAACCTGCTTCCTAGCTGTGACTCACTCGCTTCTGTCGCAGCTGAAGCCTTGCTGCTCACCTCCCTGTGCCCCCGCAGGCCACAGCTGCAGGGTGACAAGGACCAATGCCCTGGGGGAAGGGAGTCCAGAGCCACCTGCACTCCGCAGGATGCTTGGCTTTATGTTCTGTGGGCTGATTATAATCAGCGTTATTTAAGGAGAGTGTTTAAAGAAGCATTTGATGATTTGCGGAGGCACTTGAGAGGCTGCTGGCCCAGGCAAGGGTAGGGGGACCAGGTGGGTATTGTGTGCCCAGAGACCCTGAGCACACAGCTGTTGGGGCAGGGCTAAGATGAGGACAGTAGATGCTCCCATACCATCCCAAGCTGAGGCTGTAGCCCCAGGCAGAGGACGTTCCTGCATGGGTGTCCCCAGGATCTTTGTGCTTACTGAGTTGCTGGGAGTAGCTGGCTGAGTTGCCTCCCCTGGCCCCTCTGTTGTACTCTTTTCTCCTCTGTTGGAGAACCTTTCCTTTCCCCCACATCTAGGGACTCTTCATGTTTATTTCCTGGTCTCTGCTGATGTGTTAGGGCAGTGTTCATCTTTGTGTGTGTGTGTGTGTTATGTGTCTTCAAACTTCGGATTGTTTTGAGCGGTAATAAACACACAGGCTCCCAGCCATACAGGTTCTCTGCATGTTCACCTGTGTTTGCTCGGATGTGCACAACAGAGTTGCTGTCGGTACTCATGCTGGCTGGCTGCTCTATGCCCACTCAGGACTCTGGCCCTTGCTGTTATGGCCCTTGTGGGGTTGCTGGGTCCAGGGACCACAGAGTGTGTCACTGTCTCCTGATCACACTTACTTAAAAAATATATTTTTCTTTATTCTTAATAAAGTGCATGTACAATTTATTAAGAGAAAGGGAGAGGAGCACCTCCACAGGGCCAATCATGCCATAGTCTAGTCATTCAGCCTGTTGGATCCTGAGCATTCAGGCATGTGTCTGGCATGTTTCAGGATGACCAGGCTAGGGGTGCAAACTGCAGTCAACACGTGGCATCTGATTTCTCTTGAGTAGTTTATCACCACTGTGCCACAGTCAGCCCATTTGGTGACTCTTTAAAAGAGAACCATTTCTCTTGGTTATAGAAACATCTGCTTGTTGTGGGGAATTTGGATAATGCCTAAAGGTTCAAAGAACAAAGTCGATTGCTTGTTACCTGCTGTCAGAGATAGTCGAGATTTCATGTGCTTTCTTTCAGGCATTTATGCACATATACATGTGTGTGCACGAGTGTATATATGTATGTATTCCTTCTTCTTAGGAGCTGGAGCTATATAACACGTGAGAGCCTGTAGCCTCTTGTCATCTTCAGACCATACCAAGAGTTCTCATGTCCCTGGAGAACCCCTGAATGTGCTCCTATTGATTGACATACACTAATCTTTCTTTTGCTCCCACTTGCATGGCATTGATCATTCTTTTTGTATATTTAAGAGATATTTTTACTCTAGGGTATGTGTGCTTGCTGGAGAGACAGAGAAAGAGTAAGTGAGAAATCACCCCTTGGGAGGTATGGCTATGCTGCAGTTCTTTCTCCTCCATTCTCCTTTTGGGATTTTGGGCACATGCACCTGATTTGAGTTTCAAACCTCAGGGTTCAGGACTCCAACCATGGTCAGCCATGTGAGTGTCCATTGCCTCAGTCACTACACCATCTGTTGGCTGTGCATGATCATTCTTTAGTTTCCTCCTCCCTTTTTTGTTTGCTCATGTCACTGAGGTGGGCGACCTCCTGGCTTCCGTTGTCATTTCTGTTCCCCAGTGGTTGCCTGCAAGTGGTTAGCTGGCACTGTTCTGATTAGTCAGTGCCTGGCCCTGCTGATGTTTAGTGCTGAGTTTTGAATATCACACCTGATCCAAATAAACTTGATTGTATCTGCTTAGATTGCTGTGACAAAGTACCCAAGGTGGATGGCTGGCTGAAAGAACAGTGGTTCCCCCATGATGTTGAAGTGAGAAGCCTATTTTAAGGAGCCGACCAGGCTGGCCCCTTCTAAAGGCCCTCAGGGAGCCCCTTCCTCATCTCTCACAGCTTGCGGTCGTGACCCTGGTCTTCAGCATTCTTTTACTCATAGCCCATCACTCCAGCCTCTGCCTCATTTCATGTTGCCTTACCTGGAGTGTCTGTCTCCCTTTTAAGGACACCAGCCATATGGATTAGGACTCACCCTGTGACCTCCCTAGCTGGGTCACCTTTGCAAAAACTGTGTTTCCAAGTAGGTCATAGTCTGAGGACCTGGGGGTTAGGACCCCAATATCCTATTTGGGGAACTCAGCTCTCAGCAGCTGCTGTTAACCAGCCTCATGCAAACTCACAGAATGCAAATGTGCTCCACTTTAGCCACTCTTCCTACTGCTGCCTGTCATATCTATGCAGAAGTAGACACCCGCCACACCTATTTTCTGTGTGAGTAGACTCTGGTGTACATGCTGTGTGAGGTCCTGAGCTCTCCTTCTGCCGGTGTCCACCTAGTGTTTGCTGGGCAGGCCCTGTGTTGGAATGCCCCAATGGTCACAGCTGCTGCCTCCACTGGGACTAGGCCTTTGTACTTTATACCATGACTCACTACAGTGTACCTTTGGGTCTGAACTTTTACATGGTGCTTATGTTATCAAGGTGGCCAGGTTTATGGCAACATTGTATAGGCCTCTCTGCTTCTGTGTTCTGTTTTGCAAGAGGCACACACTTGGTTGGTTTGTGGTTTGGGTTTTAAATTGTTTATTGAGAGTATTGTTTACATCTTCAATAACAGTGGTGTAGTTTTTTACCTAGGCCCCTTGGCTTCAGTTTAGTTACCAACAGTAAACAGGCTAGGGGTTGGATTAGGGTTTCTGTTTAACAGCTGGAAGACAAAATTGTTTGGCTTTTCCTTTACTTTTATTTTCTTTAAAGCTAGGCCCTGTCAAGTAGTTTAGAAAAAATGGCAGCATGAGCCTAAGGTTTTTCCTTTTTCTTTTAAAATTATTTATTTTATTTTATTAATTATTACTGTTTTTTAATTTGACCTGAGAGAGAAAGAGGGAGGAAGGGAGGGGGGAGAGGGAGAGAAGGGGGCGGAGTGAAAAGGCAAGCCTCAAGGTCCAGGACTCAAACCATGGTTGCTCATGTGGGAGTCCAGTGCCTTAACCACCATGCCACCTGCCAGCCCCACAAGATTTTTCTTAATAGGTTTTTCTTAATTCTTAATGAATTGCCAGGCTTGGTTCCAAGCATCGTGATCCTGCAGGACTGGGTTGTGGTTGCAGAGGCATTTCCAAAACTCCAGGATTTCATACTAGGATTTTCATTCTGTAACTTTTCCTTTTTCCTTGACTTCCTGGGGTGCTATGTGGGAGGGTCAGAAAGAAAATCATCATGGAAGGGCAGGTGGATGCAAAAGCGAGTGAACAGAGCTGAGCTGGGCTGGTCTTACCCTCAGGTTGTAGGTAGTCACAGTTGTGTGTTGGCCAACTCCCTGCAGCTATCTTCCTAGCAAGTCTCACCTGTCTTGTTTTTTTTCCTCAGGATTCAGGAGCAGTTCCAGAAAAACCCTGATAGCTACAATGGTGCTGTCCGTGAGAACTACACCTGGTCGCAGGACTATACTGACCTGGAGGTCAGGGTGCCGGTGCCCAAGCATGTGGTGAAGGGAAAGCAGGTAATGGCTTTGGATGAGGGTGGCTGCAGGAAGGAAGGCGTATTCCTTTCCCTGGCTCAGGGTGGGCTATGTGCACTATCTGGCTCCCCTCTGGTCACTGGTCTCCCCGCTGGTCTCCAGGGTCTCCCCTAGGGGAACAGTGAGCCCATTTGTCTCTGACCAGCACTTGCTGAAGAGATGTGCATGTAGCTTCCCAGAGTGAAACCCACAAGTGTGATGTATTCACCTCTTACTAAACAAAATAACAGGCCTTCTCAGGTGCCCATGGTAGGTGATGAGGGAGTGCTCAGACAGGACCTTGGTAGAAATCACGTTTCCCTAATGAGTATATCTGCCTTCTACCTCCCTGAGAGCAGTCCAGTCAATTATTCACAGTGAAAGGTAATACATCTGTGCAGCATCTGCCATGTGAGTTTCTGGCCTCTCTAGCACAGGATTGAGTAAGCTGACATTAGACAAAGTGACATGGTGTCGGCAGCACCCCTTTGTGTGGCAAGGACTGTGTACCATAGAGATAAAAGACATATGATTGCATCCTTCAGGACTTTAATACTGGGGGACAGAGCTCGTAGACTCTGAAATCCCAGGGCAACAGCAAGCAGGCTGCGAGGGTGGAGACAGATCTTTCTCCCCTCACCCCTCACCCCCCGCCACATGCTACTTGCCTTCTGCTTGCTCCCCCGCCCTTTTGTTGCAGACCTGCACAGATGATGTATGTGTGCTGAGGGTAAACTTTCTGCCCCCACCAGGCCCTCCTTTCCCAGGCTGACTCGGTGTCTCCTGAGGGTGTTGTGCCCTGAAAGGGTGTCATGCCTCTGCTAGGGTAGTCCCCAGTGATGTCTCCTATGCTTCTGTCACTGCCCAGGGCATGATGACTAGGCCATTGTTTATGCTATCCATTGGGTCCGGCCATGCCATCACCTCTCACAGTGTCCTCAGGACAGCCTTTCCGGCTTTCTTAGGGCGCAGGTGCTGCCTTTTCTCCCCAGCAACAGACATAAAACCATGCCTTTTTCTCGAGGCATGTACACTCCCCCTACCCCTTTGGGCTGTGTCATTTCACCAGTGAGACAGGTGTAGCTAGTCCTGAGAGGCAGGGAGAGAACCCAGGGTGCTGAGCTAGACTGGGCATGCAGACCTGTGTCTGGCTCGTCCTCAGGGCAGGATATGGCCACAGCACCCATAGCCTTGAGTAGGTGTTGGAGCTGTCATCTGTGGAGCACAGGTGAGAATTGCAGTCTTCTAGGGGAGAGGCATCCTGATAACAACTTCCAGTGTAAAGCTGGTGTGGATCTCCTAGAAACCTCGTGAATGGCACAAGGTAAAACCCTGGGTCCTGGAACCAGCAGATGGCATAGCAGTTATGTTGCTAGACTCCCACTTGACTGACCACAGTTTGAGTCCCAGACCCAATGGCTTGATACTCACACTGGACTTGTGTGTGTGCATGCCCAAGATCCTGGGAGGAGAATGGAGAAGGGATTATGGCATAGCCATTCTCCCTGGGGGGTGATTTCTCACTTTCCCTCTTACTGTGTCTGTCTGTCTCTCTGGTGAGTACCCTAAGGCAAAAAACTCTTTAAAAAAATAAAATAAAAACATTGTGCCCTTGGAATCCACAGTGAAAACCTTGACATGTGCCAGGAACCAGCCTTATTTTAATCATCTTGAGAGCCTGCAGCCTACAAAGTAAGTAATGTTCTGTGTTATGGGTGAGGAGTCGAGGCTGAGAGAAGCTACCTCATCATCCAGTTGACACAGAAAATCCAGTGTCTTTCCTATCATCGTGAGTCCTGGGCAAACTTTCACATGAGTGAGGCGTGAGAATCGGTTGGATTTAAATATATGTTCCAAAGCTGTGCTTCCCTGGACCACATTCCTTCGGTGTTAATACCATCGTTCTGGCTTCTCGGGGACTGTCTTCAATCATGTGCCTTGGAAGTCAATTGCATGTGCATTTTAGGAAACACTCGCTCTATTCTGTGTGGCAACCTGGCTGGCTCACACCCCCACAATGATAACAGGACCCCAGGTCAGCCCACTGCAGCCTGACCTAAGTGGACGTGAATTCCAGGCATGATCAGGCCCTCTGTGGATTCTGCCAGCTCCAGGCTGCACCGGAAACAGTCAGATATGCCCTGATCTGCCCCATGTTTAGATGTTTAGGTGGGGACTGTGGCATCCCTGAGAAGTGTGGCTTTCAGGAAGGAGACACTGCATGAGAGATGGGATATGCTTATTTGCCATTTAGTGGGGTAGACAGGGCTCTAGGCCTTCCAGGCACCAGGGACAACATGGACCCATGAGTATGAGGGCCACTTTGACAGGAAGCAGCTGGCTGCCTGGTTTTCTCTTTCTCCCACTCCACTCCAGTAAGTCTCTTACGGTGCTGGATGACCTTAGAATTCTAGAGGTCAGTGTAGGTGTAGGACCCAAGCCAGAATGTATCTCTAGGGATCATCTACCCAGATTTCCAGCTTCCTGTCTGTTTTTAATTGGTCAGGAGCAGCTGCCCTTCCCATGTAGTTGATCCCACATGTTCTTGAAATTTAGTGGGTCAGATATTCATTCCTCTTCATGTTTTGGTGGGATTGATGTAGTTAAATAAGTTATGAGAAGTTTGATTACCACACTTAACTTAGCCAAAGAAATTACAATTTCTTAGCCCTTTATCTGCCTCCTAACAGGCTCTCTATCCTCCAGGCTTTCTCAGAAAGGACTTACGTTAGGTCTGGCCTGAATCTGGTTATTCTCTCTTTGACTGAAGGGACCCAGGCCACCAACAGCCCACTGGGATACATTGCGAGTAGTTCTCAGATATGCTCGCTGACTGATGGGGGCTGAGCCGAATCTGCTCTGTCATGGACTCCATGTCCTGCGGGTCCTATACTGTGTCTTACCTTGCACATGGCCCATGTCCTTCCTCAAGTTTGACTTGGACCTCTCTCAGATGTGCTTGTCACACCCTCTAGGATGATAAACCCTGCTTTCACCAGAGACAATACTGAGTTTGGCTCATTGGATACTTGACATTTTTTTTTTTTTGGGGAGAGATTTTCACTGTAGGGCGCGTGCGCTCGCAAGACAGACAGACAGAGACATAGAGACAGAAAGCGAGAAATCACCCCCCAGGGGGGATGGTCACGCCGCAATCCCTTCTCCTCCATTCTCCTCTCGGGATCTTGGGCACGCACGCACACGCGCCCGGCGTGAGTTTTAAGCCACCGGCTCCGGGACACGAACCGCGGTCGACCACGTGGGAGTCCAGCGACATAGCCATTATGCTAACTGCTGGTTCCCGATACTTGACATTTTCAGAGCATGTGGGACAGGCTCTGATTCAGAGCTAGGTTGATGTGGTCTCTAAAGCAAATGAGATTGTGGGACTGGAGTTCACATCCCAGTGGAGCAGGCACTGGGCCAGCGAGTGAGTGAACAGGCAGTCTCAAGTGGCAGCAGGTGTGGTGCAGAGTGGCTTGCTGTTGACCAGCACTGATCAGCTTCTCACCATACTTTCTGACAGAGCCTCATCGCATCCAGGCCTCCTAACCATTGTCTGGCAGAAACAGGCACTTGTGAGGGCTGGAGAGGGCTATGTGCAGGGCTTCTTAGCCAGGGAGAGCCTACAACCCTTGTCTCAGAGTAGGCGCCGGTGTCTGGTTATGGCATCAGAAGAGGGTGGGAGGAGGGCTAAGGGCTCGTTCATTCATTTGATGTTGCTGTTTCTGTGTTGCCTGCTGACTGACTTTGTGGTAGTGACCTGTCAAAGGCCTTTGTGTCTCCTTTGTCTCCTACCTGGTCAGAAATGTCCTTTTCTCCTTTAGTGAAGTGTGTGTGTGTGTGTGTGTGTGTGTGTGTGTGTGTGATCCTTGTAATACCACATACCTCCTATAAACATCATTGGTCTCCCAGTCTCCTGATGCTCTATGGCTCAGCCATGCTGCACTTGGAACTCTGTAATGCATGTGTGTCATGTCCCTGGATTTTGCTGGTCGCAGGCCTTTTCTCTCGACTGGCACTTTTCCAGCTGTTCTCTGGCCACCTGTCAGCACGCTTGTTTTTGCTCATGTCTCGGGTGCCTCTCAGATGTAATCAGGCTGATAGCAATGCTGCAGCAATTCGGCTGGGAAAGCCAGAGCTAGTTCTGGGTGGTGCAGGGCTCTAATTGGATGGGACTACAGTGAGTGTCCTAGGGCATCTGTGTCCTCTGGCCCCCACAGTAGCTTGGTCCTACATCACCAGAGCCCTGTCTGTACTGGGCTCCATCTCACTGATCCCTCTCTTTAGAAGGGGTTAACAAAGGCACTCTGGCCTCCCAGGGGTATTGGAGGGTGAACGCGTACTGTTCATCATGCTTCCTGTTCCTCATAAGGAAAATAGAAAGTGTTCTTATTTTACATGCAACATCTAAAAATGATGTTCTTTGCTTAATCTACTCTGCTGTTTAGGAAAAGCAGATGATTTCTCTTCTTTTCTCGGTGTGCCTGGGAGTAGGGACAGAGAACTCTGAGTTTATGGCATGGATGTTCATGTCATTGCTCATAGCAGACCACCGTGGTTGTAAACCAGCATTTTATCAAATCATAGACTTTTAATACGTTCTAAAACTGAATTCCAGAGATTTCTTGTTCAGTCTCTCATTTTGTAGTTGAGGACATCCTCTTGTGGAGATGATGACAGAGTAAGAGACCAGAACCCAAGTCCCAAATCCATCCTGTTTTATGGACTGTCTTTGGGGTGGAAATTACCTGTGGTACTGTTGTAGACAAAGTCATGATCATATGCCATCAAGTGTCAGATGAACCTGTTCCTCCTGAATCGTCTTCCTCTCAGAGACTTGGGTGGTCTTGCAGGCTGGTGAGCTTGAGACCCTGCTGCAACTATCTCTGTCCTCACCAGAAACAGAAACAGTGCCTTGGCCCCTGGGTGTGTCTTACTGGCTTTTACCAACTCTCAGGCTGAAATTTGGGTGACTTTGCCTCTGAGCTTGATGCAGCTGC